ACAAAAGTGGACCATGTTCCGTCGCTCACAATCGATGGAACTACTATACCATAAAATACAGCTAAATATCTGGGAATGACCTTAGATGCCAAGCTGAGATGGAAAGAACACGTGAAGAAAAAAAAGGACAGAAATAGGTTTAAGGTATAGACAACTATACTGGTTGATAGGACGTGGCTCCAACCTTGCTGTACAAAATAAACTATTATTATATAAACATGTTTATGTGCACATATGGTATTCAACTATGGGGTTGTACCAAACACAGCAATATCAAAATCATACAAACACTCAAAAATAAAATCTTACGTAACTTGGTCAATGCACCTTGGTACATAAGGAATAAGGACTTATATAGGGATCTTAAGAAATACAAAGATTTGCCGCCAAACACCAGGCTCGCCTCAGCCAGCACGAGAATGTAGACGCGACCAAACTCTTACATAACCAAAACATGGTCAGAAGATTTTTTTTTTTTTTTAATAATTTAAAGGCTGAAACCTTATTGGTCATTAAGCCTTGAGTCTGTGCAAGTTAACGGCGCAGCCCGGCCCCCTCAGAGCGAGGCCCCCGCAGACCCCGGCGCAGTGGCAGCCCCAGGCCTAGAAAGAACGGAACCCCACGGATCTCTCGCAACTGATGCTTTTAGTCTTAATATTGCGCGCAGGACTTTATCGAGGAGGGGTCGGTGTCTAGTCACCATCGACACCTCCTCTAAGCTCGCTGGAGATTCCTTGACCTCAGAGTCCGGGGAGGCACCCCTCAATCCAGCCCAAGACCGACCAGCACCCGAGGCCCCGCATGGGCGTCGCCAGAAGTCAGCCGCACCACACCGCCAACATGGGGAACCAGCAAAGGAAACAAGAGTTGAGGGGATGGGATGGGGGTCAGAAGATTAAAAAGAACAAAGCAATATGAACTTGTGTAGTTAAAAATGAATAGTTAAAAGTGAAATGTAAATCTTATTGTACCAATGGCTTTATAAGAATGTAAACATTTATTTATTCTATAATATTATTGGAAAATTAATGATTAGTATAATAAGACCAGTTTTAATAAATAAATTTAATTTTTAAAAAAACAGCACTGTAATTAGATTGCCGTTGACGTAAACTACTTTAAAGACCTATAAGCCATATGCAAGAAATTTTAAACATCTCATACATTAAGGATGATATCAAATGGTTAGCTCCTTTTTTGAACTTAGCGCTGAGAGTACAAATACGACCGTAAAAATTATAGAAAACTAAAACCTCAACAAAAATTATCAGAAGGCAGATCAAACTTATTTTAGTATGACTATGAAATATATTTATTCTCTGTGTTATTATTAGGGCTGTAATTTATTTACAATAAAAACCGACAAGTATGCACTTATATATGTAAATATATTTGGTAAAAAATGCAATTTAAAACTTAAAATATGCGGAAACTACCATGAGAAAAAATAAGGAAACTTCAAATTAAAGCACATAATTGTATTGAGAAGAGAAACAGTAGTAAGAGGAACATCACATTGCTAATATTTAAAAAGGAAAACACATTAAAAAAAAAGTTCAATTTAAATCTTATCCAATGAGATCCAGATCGGTCCATTTTCGATGAAGTCTCTGATTTTATGGAGTGTTTCACTGTATATAAGATCAGGGAGAGATTTCCTGAGGGTACGTTCGTGGGGAATGGTTTTTCCCTGTGCATTTCTAAAAAAAAAAAAACCTTGAATACAGGGTGGCTTAGTTTATGGATGGGTATGTCACCTCTACCTAAAGCACGACATAAATCGGTATCGAAACCGGACTTTCCAGATCCAGCAATTGTGGCAGCTTGTGTCACAAAGGTTTGTTGAAACTCTCAACACGACACGCAAGAATGGCACAATTACACAGAAGGCAAACACCTTGAGCCCTGAAGATGATCTCAATAAAGATCGAAACGTTGGCGAGATAAAGAAAATATTTTTCTGAAACCTACATCACACCAGACCGCATCTCACGATTTCTGAATAATTATCGATTAACGGTCACTAATCACCACACGTTTGTTGAAACTTAGAATTCTTACCTTTGTTTTCATCGTGTTTTGCTGTCTTTATGTGCTGTTACCAAAAAACAAGTAGCTGTTGATACAGGTTTCTCACAACAAACACAGTACAAAACGTCTGCATAGCCCTTAAAAGACTTTCTTGAAAACTGACGCACATACTTTATTACGCAAGATCTTTCGTCTTTGCCGGGACTTTCGGCATTTTAGGAGTAGACAGTTCACAACGCACAAATAATGTTTCATGATGGAAAACGCATGAGAGACTGGGTAAAACTGAGAAGTATGATGATAGGGAAATAAGAGATCTGAGGTAATATTTCTATGAATCCAATTAAACTATTCCAAGAGAACATTTACGGTGGTACAAACATCCTTTTTCTATTTATACGAAAGATCGCGCAAAGCGGTGGAGCAGCAACTGAACAAACACAAACTCGTTCATTATGTGGAAACGGAAGAACGGGAGCCTGTAGCTCTTTGTCGGAGAATTTTTGTTTTTTCCTGCTCAGACACATTCAAATTTGACCAAGTACCGATAAGCCGGATATGTAAAACAATATGCAATTATAACCCACTTATGCAAAAATATGCATTTATGGCAATATATGCACAAATATGCAAAAAGAAATAGAGCTTAAATTGATTCCAAAGGCTTCAAAACATATAGTCTGTTAAAACTGGATGTTTTCGTTAACCAGGAAAAATATGCAAATGCATCTATTTCACAGCCCTAGTTATTTTTTACTAAATTATTTATTTATTAAAGAATTTAATTTACATATTGGCCAAAAAAATGAGTTAATTATATTGTACAAGTCTAGTCAATGATTTTAATTTATAATATTTATTAATTATTTTTTATTAACTTCTTTATTTATTAATTTATTTATGATATTAGTTTTTATTAAAGTAAATGTGTTCTTATTAAATAATCTATTGTACTTGTCAATCAATGATTTATGATTTATAATATATTAGTAAATTGCTTATTTATTAATTTATTATTGTAAATGATTATCTCTTGATGTAACTGTGTAATTATTTATCTTAGATAATATACAATTCTAGTCAAACAAAGGCGCAGTTTCCTAAGCCTATTTGACTTATAATTTATTTAATTTTGCTCGAAGTGGTTTTTATAATAATTTTTCACCATTGATTTTTATTTCTTTAGGGCAAATTAGCAAAAATTGTAAATATATTTAAGTCCTCTGCCACAAGGATGTTATAATGTCCTAGACATTTCCCCTTTTATTTCACTTTTTTTACACAATGTATGTAAAATTATCTATTAAATAAATAAACAATACAATACAACAATGTATTTCAATTGATTTTTTTTTGTGCAATGTCTTGGTTGAGATGAAAAAGCTAGTGTCACGAGCGGGATGCGAACCCACGGACCTTCGGCTAAATAGGCCGCTGCTCTACCACTTGTATCATAATAGAAGACATGAACGGTATTAATTGTATAAAAAAACGATTGTGTCCAATAACAAAATTATGTAATTAAAACCTTTTATTTTGTTATTTTCAAAACCCCTTAACTAAATTTTCCTTCAGTGTAGAAATGTGTGGTGATTAGTGACCGTTAATCGATATTTATTTAGAAATCGCGAGATGCGGTCTGGTGTGATGTAGGTATCAGAAAAACATTTTCTTTATCGTGCCAACGTTTCGATCTTTATTGAGATCATCTTCAGTGCCTGGGATTTAAAAACATTGTTTACATATTACAATTACATTTTGGATATCCAAAATGTAATTGTAGTATGTAAAAAATGTTTTTAAATCCCAGGCCCTGAAGATGATCTCAATAAAGATCGAAACGTTGGCACGATAAAGAAAATGTTTTTCTAATACCTACATCACACCAGACCGCATCTCACGATTTCTAAATAAATATTTTCCTTCAGTAAAAACAATATCTAATACATTTTAATGCAGTTTGTAATAAAAATTAAATGAAAACGCTAGGAAAAATACTAAAAATTTGGCAATATTCCTATTCATTTTTGAGCAGTTTAGGTCGGAATTTTGGCAGGTAACAAGGGAAATTTTTTATCAATCAGACTATACCCGGATCAAATTATTCGTGAATAAAAAAGTGGTCGATACATATAAACTTTAAACAGAAAAAAATTATTTTATTGTTAGACGTGAAAGATGTAGCTATTGTATTATTCAATTATTTTACGAAATCTTTTTATATATCAAGCTTAATTAATTTGTAACCGAAACATCTTTTCATGACGATGTTTGTAACATGAATATCATGTAAACAAAAGTTAATTTTATCTCAACTTTTGGCAACAAAGTACTTCCAAAGAAGTCAATGAAATTTGGCTTTAAATGTTTTTTTTTGTAACTATTTTAATGTATCTGTATGGTAATGATTATTAGTTTATCGTTAACAGTTATCACTACTAAAAGAAAATAAATTTTTTAATACGTTTACCATTGTTTCTGCATGAAATATGAATGAAATTGAAAGTCTGCATTAAATGAATTTTACAAAACAAAAACAATTATATTTGTATAGAAACATAATTAACGTATTTTGCAGTTTATTGTTAAATTATTCCTTTTTTTCTAAATAAGGACGATTATTTTTGAACAGTGCCGATTGACGATATTCGTGGTTAATATGACTGCTGATATATTATAATATTAAATAAATATATGGTAATTGCATTATATGTAAAATATCATAAAAATTTATTAGATATCAACGTAGATATAACATATTCACTCTATATTCCCTGAATGAAGGAGGATACGGATACCTGACCGGAATTAGAATCAGATGTTAATGCTAGCATTCATTACGTCTATCCCAAACATGCTGATGTTGATTTTCCAAATAAACTTGCAAAGCTGCACCCTCAAATGCTCCATGTTTAAACATTGAATGAATAATTACATGTAAAATGATATTTCCTATTTTCTTGTTACAGATCGCTTATCCACCTTATCGTAATTTGTTCATACCGGTATTTCTGAACTGTTGGCTGGCGAAGAAATCCCTGGAGAACATGTTTGTAAGTAGAAAAGCACGCAGCGCATTTTATATAGTTTGTATTATATATGGGCTGACAAACATCAAGCGGCTTTCTCTGTGCTTTAAGCGAAAATTCTTCGTAACTGGTTCTTTCATATTTTGTCTCCTGTTTTCTTAGCTTGCTAACCTCTCGAATGTACCTAGGTTGTCAAAAGATCAAGAAAAACCATAAATCTATACACATGAAGTTTTACCCGCTTCCCTCCTTCCCCGGAAACGCCGCTAGCGACGAGAGCCTTCTCCGCAGAAGGTCTGAAACACGCGGACAGTGCGTAGAAGAACCACCGTAATCCCAGGGCGAACAGTCAGCAGACAATGCCTCCGAAAACGCCACGGCACTCCTGGTACTGCATATCCCGACGACGCCGATATCAAGTCATCTCCCAAAAACAAGACGTCTGGTCACATCATTCCCCTGTGTACTGGGTATTCCTTGGAGAGGGTTTGAACCCTCCATTCTTGCTAATCAATTACTTTCATTCTCACTCTAGAGTACTCCATATTCCTCGAGCTGGGGGATAATCTCCCATTTCACGCTAAAAATTTACATCTGTCAACACATAACACATAAAACGAAACACATAGACACATATACATTTAAAAAACTCTTACCATGTCATAAAGCCACGCATAGGTCAGCAGGGACTCCGTAGTTCATCCTTGATGGCTTTTAGTTTCCTGCAATGTAAAAGATGCTCAACGCTTAATCTTTCGGTACATAATGGGCATCGACGCGTTCTCTTTCCCGTCAGCAGGTGCCATGTGTAACCCTCGTATGCCCTATGCGTAACCTAGTAACCATGGCCCTTTCCGAACCTGCCTCCCTGGACCAGGGACCCACGCTACTCTTTATCTGGCGTAATTTGACACAAGTTTGTCGATTTTTCCTTTTTTTGTTTACAATATTTTCTGTTAATCTTACCATATCAGCATGGCGGACATAATAAGGTGGTGTTTGGCCTCTTTAGCCGCTTTGTCTGCTTCTCCCATACCCGGCTATCTCTACATGGCTTCTTCCCATCAGCATCGATTTTTTTTAAATTGTTCCTATATTTGATTTATTAGTGGCTCCACGGACGCTGCATTTTATATTGTTTTACTATTATAATATAATTTTTTTAAATTTTGTATATAGACGGTGTGTTTGTTGTGCGATCAACCAGCTTTCATACGATGTTGATTGGGATTCGGGTTGTGGTTTTCAAACATACAATGTTATTATATCAACGCCCAAGCTTTCGACAAGTTTTATTGCCTTCTTCAGGGGATCTACAGAGACATAGGGACATAATCGTTTAGACAGTTATAAATTGTATAAATAGTTATAAAATATCAGTTTTTTGTTACTTACAGATAGATACAAAGTCAAATCGTAAACACATTGCACATTCCACGATATGTATACAAACAAACTATATACATATATAATAAATAAATAAATAAAAACCTCTTCTTAACAGCCTCTTACATATATAGGCATTTTTTAAAACCAGTAACAATTATTAATAAATAATATTCTTTTGGTACATAATTATCACAGGCGTTTGACTAGAAAATTGTGTTTATCACGTTATCAGGTGGGAGGTTCCCCACACTATCACCTACTGATAACAATCATTTCCCACAATTTTTAAAAACAAGATCTTAATTTCTAATACATTGGTAATTCTATGTTATCACAGCCTGTTATAATATATAAATAAATAAATAGATAAATAAATAAATATGTACGCAAGTATTGTTACGATCTTTTGGGAGACACCTTATCTTTTTCTAGGATCCCACTGTACATCACACGTACATCTTCCGTCGGGCATAACTCAGAAATGATCGATCCTATCAAAATTTTCCTTTCAGTAAAGGTGGCATGAAAGTATTTATACAATTTATAACTGTCTAAATGATTATGTCCCTATGTCTCTGTTGATCCCCTGAAGAAGGCAATAAAACTTGTCGAAAGCTTGGGCGTTGATATAATAACATTGTATGTTTATAGACGGTGTATCAACTTCTATAGAGTACCCATTTAATACTGAAACGATTAACTTTAGTAAAAAATTGTCTTATACAAACCCATATGGTTCTTACAAAAAGCATTCCCATTTTCACGCGTCTTCCGTCGGGCATAACTCAGAAATGATCGATCCTATCAAAATTTTCCTTTCAGTAAAGGTGGCATGAAATAAGTTCTAGAACCGAATTCTACAATAAAAATATGAGATTCCCTGCTAAATGAGAAAGCTATGTTAAATCTATTACCACCACGCAATTCCTAGCCAAATTAATATGGGGTTTATATAAGACAATTTTTCGCTAAAGTTGATAGTTTTCGAAATAAAGGTGGAGGCCCATCTTGTTGTTAGAAAAAGCAAACCTCACGCTTCTTCCGTCGGGCATAACTCAGAAATGATGGATTCTATAAAAATTTTCCCTTCAGTAAACATGGCATGAAATAAGCTCTAGAATCGAATTCTAAAATAAAATTTGAGATTCTTATTTAAAATAACAAAGTTACTATCATTTCCTTGCTAGATGAGAAAGTTACGTTGAATCTGTTACCACCACACGATTTCCAGCCAAAATTAACTTGTATTATATAAGACCATTTTTTCTTCAGTTAATCCTTTCTGAATTGAATGGACTACAGAAGTCCGCCCATCCACCCCAGGGAGACCCCATACGGGCACACCTCGGCCTCTAAACTGACCTAACTATTTTCTTGAATGGGGGAAAAATGGAAGCTTAACGCCTTCCTTTTGCCTCGCCCTTCGAGGGGCACGAGGAAGGTTAGGGATATNTAATGTATATATATATTCTCTGTATTAATTACACTGACCTAATCTGATAGGTCTCCCCCTTGCTGGTTATTCCTTTTCAGGGGCCGCGGTAGCCGAGTGGTTAAGTCGTCAGACTCTCGACTAGTAGATCCACGGTCGTGAGTTCGATCCCCATTTTTTTTAAGCAGCAAGGAGCCAGATGTGGCTTAGGAGCGGCACTGAAGGCACAGACGGTTATTCCTTTTCGTAAAATAATAAAAATTGAAGCATTTAAAAAAATCACAGTCTTAAGTACTGTATAACAATGTTAACCTAATTTTAAAGAAGTTACCAGTCCTATTCTGTAGTAGAAAACCAGAGGTACAAAAAAGAGGCTTTTAGGATATCGACTTAGTTTTCGTATAAAAGCAGAGAGTTAATTACCAAATCAAGACGCTCAAATGGCTCCAGTTTAAAACAAAATATGCGTGAAGGACAAGAAAAAGTTCAGCTGTTTGTCTGCCTATAAACCTTTATGAGTGAAAGTTATGTTAAATCTTCACGCGATTCCTAGCCAAAATTTACTTAGGGTTTGTAAAAGACGATTTGTTCCTTAAGTTAATCGTTTCTAAATAAAATGGGCGAATTATAGAAGTTGATATATATACGAATATACTAATTAATCATTATTAATTAAATGATTTTTTCAATTACAGAACGACCTACACAGGGCAATGCAAAAATCACAGTCCGCTCTTTCTCAACAGCTAATGATACTTTCTGCTACGCTACTGTGCCTTGTATTCACCAGGTGAGGCTACATGCTTGTAACTTACATGATATTATAACAAATAGTACGTTAGAGATAAATTGTGCAATAACATTATCAAGTCAAACGGAGGATGTGCGGATATTCAACTTCTTAAGAACTTGAAAGACTTCAGACGATGATGATACACCGGCTGCGAGTTTCGATAGCACACTTGTCACACCCTAATTAGTGACGTACGATACCAGAAAATATAAAGTACTCGATACTGGTATCGAAAGAAATATTCGATACTACTCAATTATCGACAGAAATTATTCGATACTAACGAGTACTTAACTCATATGAGTAGTTTTTCGTTTATTCATAAATGATCAACTTATTATTATGGACTTTGGCTAACTCATGCTCATGGTTAAGCTCATGCTTTAAAATAATCAAAAAATTGCAATTTTTAAGTATTTTTTCATACAGTGAGTACGTAGGTAAGAACAAGGAAAAGCTGCCAACACATTTCAATGTAATTGACATTTCAATTTTATCGTTATCGAGTTTTGAGAAAATTGACCTATGGGTGTTTGGTTTTGAAATGTTGAAAAGACGTATTCCCCAGAGTTTACAAGATGCCGACGAGTCAGTTTTCTTAGTAAAATAACCTCATGCCTTACTTTCGGGAGGAGACATGATTAGGTATCTACCTACGAAAAAGAAGGCGAGCACATTTTAGGGACTTGAAGACAAAAACATTTTATAATTAATTACTGAAATTGAAAGAGCGAGGTGCGACGCGGGAAAGAATTATGAGTTACCAACCGCCAATTAAAAATCTCGATTAACTTTGTTGACACATGCCGCTAGTATGCGCTCTTAACGGTAACTAGTCAATTCCCAGTTTGATGAAAGGTAAGTTTTGAACGGTTTAACAATTCAATATGACTTGAACACTCGACGAAAAATCTATTTGAGTATAATTTCCGATACTACAAAAATTATTCGATACAGATCTTGTATCGAATGACTAAAATCGACACCAGACGTACACGGTATCGAAAGAAAATACTCGATACTTTACTCATATCGATTGGTATCGCACGTCACTACCCCTAATATATTTGAAAAAATGTATTTTTCCGACAAACAGCAACGTCATAGTCAGCCCGTCGTGTTTTTTCTCTTGTTTCTCATCTGCATTATTCTCCTCTGCTTTTATATTTTCTATCTTCTCAGACCTGGGACACTTCCCTTGCACCGTTCACATATTATCACTCAATAAATCAATTAAGCATACTATATGACGGGCTCCCATTGTACTTTATATTCTGTAACTGATCATCATTCACACGAAAACCTACAGCTTAAAACACCATGTATACCATACATCAATCATCATTCTTCCAGATAACTACAGTTTGGATTTTTAAAACACCAGTTCACTAGTAGGTGGGAATATCACTGGTTCTCTAAGTTGGGGGCTACGTTGTTGATCGATTACCAGAAGATGTCCAGGTGTGAGACGAGTATGGCCTATCCTAAGCTATGTTAAGATAATTCTTTCTGATTAATTGGAGATCGTTAGATGCGCTCTGGTGTGACCTAGGTTTTAGAAAAACATTTTATTTATCGTGCCAACGTTTCGATCTTTATTGAGATCATCTTCAGGGCTCAAAGTGTTTGTTTTCCGTTTAAATGTGTCTTTCTTGTCTGTCGTGTTGAGAGTGTCCTCTTTTACGTTATATGTGTTATCTGTATTGTTGTTGAGTCCGTTGGCTAGGTATTTTGTTTTGTTGTATGTAGGGGAATTTACAACTGAAATTATTGGTCTTAGAGGGTGTTCAGGTTTATGTGTTTTTTCACAGATCCGTATAGTTTCAGAGGCGTTGGAGAGTTGTTTTGAAGTGATTTATTGATGTATATGTCAATGTCTTTTTGTTTAAGAGTTTCTTGAAGGATTTTGTTTGTCTGTTTGATGAGAGAAGGGTTAGGGTCTGATCTGATTGTACCGTATGTGTTTGTGTCGTGGATAATTTTGTTAATTTTTTCCTTGTACTCTTTTTTTGCTCCCTGCTACTGTTTGTTTTGTTTTATCAGTAGAAAGAATGAGAATGTCAGGATTATTTTTGATAAATTTTTTTGTTTTGGTGTTTTTTGAGATGTGTTCTGTTGATTTGTAGTGAGATGTTGTACGTGATTTGTTATTGTTAATTATTCAGATATCGTGAGATGCGGTCTGGTGTGATGTAGGTTTCAGAAAAACATTTTCTTTATCGTGCCAACGTTTCGATCTTTATTGAGATCATCTTCAGGGCCTGGGATTTACAAACATTGTTTACATTTAACAAATACATTTAGGATGTGGAAAATTGAATTATTTGTTAAATGTAAACAATGTTTGTGAATCCCAGGCCCTGAAGATGATCTCAAAGAAGATCGAAACGTAGGCACGATAAATAAAATGTTTTTCTGAAACCTCCATCACACCAGATCGCATCTCACGATTTCTGAATAATTATCGATTAATGGTCACTAATCACCACACATTTGTTATTGTGTTAATGCATTTTGATCGCGTTATGTCTTTTCCTTCTTCTGTTTTTGTGTACGTTTGAATTGAACAGTCTACATCAGTAATTAATTTAGCTGTTGGGAAATCTGTTTTGTTGTAAGGAAGGAAATGTTTGGGACAAAGTGATAGGAAATTTTGGATTTCTGAACGAATGTTAGTTTTTGTTAGGTTTAGAAACCAATTGTTTGTGTTATCAGGTGTTTGTTTGTTGATTAAGTTGTTATGTTTTATGGTGTGTTTGTTTTTAATTTTGTCAAGTGAAAATTGTTTGCATTTTTTGATGTTTGTAAAAATTTGTCTGTAGGTATTATGTTGGCGGCACTGAGTCTTAATTGGTGTATTTTTTGTGTTAGTGTCGTAATGTTTTTAATACATTAGTGATTTTTATATTTTAAAATGTTGGGCACTCATAACACGACAGACAAGAATGACTCATATATACGGAAAACAAACACTTTGAGCACTGAAGATGATCTCAACAAACATCGAAACGTTGGCGCGATAAAAAAAACGTTTTTCTAAAGCCTACGTCACACCAGACCGTATATCACGATCTCCAAATAATCATTAACTAACGGTCACTAAACACCACAGATAATTCTTTCTCTTTTTTCATTTTCTCTACAGGTTTGCTATAACCTTATGTATTTTTTAATTTTTTAGTCAATTGAGTCCTTTTCATCTTTGTCTACGTTGATATAAATGTAATCCACAGTAATTATCGCAAATAATTTTCTTTCTAGCGTTTGTGGAATACAGCATTTCCAGAGAGCGGGCCACAGACGACTCAACCTTTTCCAGTCGACGTACTACGTCGTCGTGACGTTTTCGACGGTCGGATATGGTGATTTCGTTCCCGACATCTGGCCTTCTCAGCTTTACATGGTCATCATGATCTGCGTCGCCCTCATCGTCCTCCCGACACAGGTAATATCGTGATAACATACCAAAGACTCGGTTATTCGGTTATTTTATAAAAAAGCATCGGATACTTAACTGTTCAAACTCGTTTTAAAGGTGGTAACATAAGAATTTGAATTCTATAGTGTTTCAGTTAGAAAAAGGATGACTTTAAAAAAATCCAGAATTAATATTGATAATAATTAACTTTAAAAATGCCATCATTTTATCTAATCCTGAAAAAGGTTTACAAAACTGCACCTGATTTACAAAATTATAACAAAAAGAGAAGTTCATCCGTTGTTATTTTTCAAGAAAAGTTCCCTCTCAAATAGAAATTGGACGACTTAACAAGAATATCAGATTTCCCTCCTAGACAATTCCTTCTTATTACCAAACAAAACACCTTTTTTAATACCGAACGATCGTGTAACATTATTATTGCTTTCTTATCCATATTCGTTTATTTCATTCAATTTTTACCGAAACATCGCGTAATTCGCCTTCATTGCGATAAAATTTTGGAAGGGCTGATAAGAAGTAGTGAAAAAATATGTTTTTCCTTCTGCAGACTTTCTAGGCACGGAATGATTCTTGACATATATGGTGGGATTAATGTGAAAAGCTATAGAAGGAAAGCGAAAAGGAAAAAGGGGAGGGAATTGATTGGCTTGTAAACGCGGAGTCGTCGGACAGATTTGACCCCAAAACCCTTTGACCCTCACTGAACCAAAGCGCAAATATTTTTTCCGACAAATGGACCGACTCACCATAATATAAGACGAAATTTCCCCTGAAAATTTGGAACAACCCCCGAAGCCATTTTTCTTGGAAATGTATATATTTAGTCGGAGTGGGTCCGCTTTCGCAGGTTTTCAATTTCTTACATTAATATATTCAATCACACATTTTAAACCATTTCTAAAAAAATCCATAGATTATTCCGTATTAACATTATTTTTTTTATATTTTTTTTTAAACCAGCAGAGGTCTTACAAACCCTCAGGGTGCCGGTGTTTTTGAAAAAAAAGCCCATTTGTATGTCGGGTTCGAATGCAGGGCCGTTAGATTCGAACCCGGCACCTTTACCTTGCAGTGATGAGCGCCGTATCAACGCCTAAACCGTTGCGGCCACCGACGCCCCTTTTTTAGTTATTTTTTATGCAAAGTACTGATCCGGAGGTCGTGGGTTTGAGTCCCGCTGGAAAGGCTAATTTTTCAACTCAAACATACTTTGCACAAAAAATAAAAATCCATGAAATTAATTACTGTAGTTAACAGGACCAAATAAAAACTTAATGTATTAATTAATTATATTAAACGACCTGATCAATTTTTTTTTCAAATTCTCAAACCCAATTCTTGACAATGTTTACTTACCTACGCAGACAACAAGGGGAAAATTAAGTTACCTTGTCAACGAAAACTAGTTTGACAAATTTTTCTTAAATTTAAGATTAAGTTTAGGTTTAAGAGGAATTGTCAAACTAGTTTTCCTTGACAAGGTAACTTAATTTTGGTAAGTTAACTGGATAAGAAAAGAAAGGATGTGCATGGATCGTCAATAAAAGAAAGTAAACCGTAATCTTTGCAAAAAATATATTGGATTAGTTTATTTAGTGTAACGAAACGGACCAAAATTGCATTTTAGAAATCGTAAATTAAGATCACTTAATACAATGTTTTCTGACAGATGACAAACCTATCGCCGTCTCATACGATTTAAACCTAAAGAATACATGTGCAAGAGGCGGTTTCGATCTACTTAAGTATGTCCAAGAACCATACTTAATTCATACATCGAAAAACCCGTCCAACCTATATTCCAGAAAAAACGTGAATTATTCCTTGGTCAAATGACTACCGGGCTTAAAAGAGGAAAATTTAAGATTCACTTTTATGATTATTGAATAAATAGCTCAGTAATCCAGAATTGACTGTCACATTATAATTAACGTCTTCATATCACTGAGATAAAAATTTATCTTTATCAATCAAGTTAGAGGTCTAGGAAATTGTGGTCCGTTAATGCCCATTTCACTTATGTAACGAATCTGAAAATACAAATTTTTCACTCTAAAACTCTTTAGATATTTATTTAGAAATCGTAAGATGCGGTCTGGTGTGATGTAGGTTTCAGAAAAACATTTTCTTTATCGTGCCAACGTTTCGATCTTTATTGAGATCATCTTCAGGGCCTGGGATTTACAAACATTGTTTACATATAACAATTACATTTTGGATGTGGAAAAGTGAATTTATACAATGCAAAATATTTTTTTTTATATATTCAATCAAAGTATCTACTCACTCAAAGTGTTTGTCTTCTGTGTAATTGTGCCATTCTTGTGTGTCGTGTCGAGAGTGCCAGTGAGATTTTGCTATTTTGTGTTTATATACGTTGGATTTTGAAGGGGTGGAGAAGGATGTCGGTATAGAAAAGACATTTTTGTATAAGGCGTCGGCTTCTTTGAGGTGAAAAGAGCCGACGAAGGGAAAAAATGTGTTGGAAATGGTTCGGCCAGATTATCCTTTCAGGATTATATAGAAAGGGATAAATAGGAAAAGAAATATGTTATATGTAAACAATGTTTGTAAATTTCAGTCCCTGAAGATGATCTCAATAAAGATCGAAACGTTGGCACGATAAAGAAAATGTTTTTCTGAAACCTACATCACACCAGACCGCATCTTACGATTTCTAAATAAATATCGATTAACGGTAACTAATCACCACACATTTCTTTAGATATTCCTTTCTTTAGATATTATGCTTCCTTAGGTTATCCTTAATCAAACTATACTGCCTTTTGGTCCTAAACACTAAATATTTGAACCTACTTTTTTATCCATTATATTTCGTGGTCAGATTGGCCAAATAACTTTTTTTAATTAATTAATCTTTTTATTTAAGGTATTGGTTGAAATGAAAAAGTTAGTGACACGAACGGGATTCGAACCCACGACTTTCGGCTCAATACGCCGCTGCTTTAACCAGTTGAGATCATCGTCACGATAGCTCAAGTGGTTAGAGGTGCGGCGTATTGAGCCGAAGGTCGTGGGTTCGAATCCCGTTCGTGTCACTAACTTTTTTCATTTCAACCAATACTTTACATAAAAAGACTGCTTTGTTATGTCGCTCATTGGTACCACTTTAAAATATTTTTCTTACACCGGGATTCGAACCCAGAACCAACGTGGCAAATACTATATCACAAATTACTTATATCAATAATGAGATTATTGTTTTTCTGTCGAGATTGGTACCTAAATAAATTCAAATTAAGTCCGAAATATAGGTAGATATCGTGAAGCAATTAGGTGGGTCCTACCTAGTACAATAAAGCCATCCCTATCATAAAGAAGGGCTTAACGTCCCACCCGTTGGTGTTTGGATGATGGGTTCAACCACCTTACAATTTCTTTTATTAATCTCAATTAAATAGCCATGGATATTGACGGAATTCGATCTCAGAACCGCTAGCGAGGCAAAAACTTAAAAGAATTATGATAATTTAGAGATCGTGAGATGCGATGTGATGTAGGTTTAGAAAAACATTTTCTTTAACGTGCCAACGTTTCGATCTTTATTGAAATCATCTTCAGGGCCAATGTTGTATTCAATATAGGAATTTTAGGTCTAATCCAAATATTTGTACTCACTCAAAGTGAGTGTTTTCTGTGTAGATGTGTCATTGTTGTGTGTCGTGTTGAGATTGTAAGTGAGATATTAATGTTTTTTGTGTGTGTGTATATATATATATATATATATATATATGTTGGAATTCGAAGAGGTAGGGATGGAAGTAGGGATAGAAATCCATTGCTCTATCGAGATTCGAGGCGAAAAAAACATTAATGTCTCACTAACACACAACAATAAAGAAAAGGTTTTTCTAAACCCACATCACACCAGACTCACGATCTCTAAATAATCATTAACTAACGGTCACTAAACACCACAGGCAAAAAGTAATTATTTATGATTTATTATTGTAATTAACGTTGGTACCTATCTCACTATATATAACTTTTTTTTCAAATAGTAGAGCTGATAGGCTAAAATTCTCGGGTAATTACGGATAACAGTTTTCAATCTAGTATCACCTAAAAAAGGTTAATTAAAATTCGTTTTATGTAAGGTCTTGGTTGAAATTAAAAAGATAGTGTTATGAGCGGGATTCGAACCCACGACCTTCGGCTCAATCCGCCGCTGCTCTTACCTCTTGAGCTATCGTGACGTATTGAGCCGAAGGTCGTGGGTTCGAATCCCGCTCGTGACACTAACTTTTTCATTTCAACCAAGACCTTACATAAAAAGAATAATTAATTGAAAGACGTAGACCACTAACCATAATGGAGTTAATTAAAATCGTTGATCCCACGTCCGTAGAGCTCAGTGAGTTCAAAAATATCATACAATCCTTTTGGTTTTTTTTATTTAACGAGTTGTTTTCTCATTTCTAAGTGACAAGTCACAGTAATTTTCTAAAATTTCCGAAATTTGAATTTTTACTCGGGCTATGTAGGGTTTTGGGTTTATCTAGCTTCTACGCGTATCTCACATTCGGACATTTTCGTTTATTCGGTCATCGGTTCTCATTGAATATTTTCGTCTTATCGATTCCAAGACTGCGAGGACAGGGTAAACGGTTAAATATTGAACGGGGCCGCCTCTTTCCGTCTTACGCATTATCTTTGCACACAGTCAGGTTTAGAAAAGGATCCTTCGTCCGTACCCATGGAATCGAGAAGTGAATTTCATAATACAGGTTTTTTTTCGAGTCCGATGACGTAGAAAATTGTAAAGGGATTGTGTTAGTCAAGACGGCCTACGGCCCGGCGGTTATCATTTAAATAACCTCAATCCGGACAGTCAAGAGTTGTCAAAAAGTTTCGGTTAAGTCGTTAATAATATCAACTCGCTAAGTTGGTTATTAGTATACAGCCGCTTCCCGGATTCGACGTCTGCGATCCCAAATATTATTCTGTTTATAAACGGAACTGATTGTGCCGAGGGGAATACT